AAACCCTGCTGCGTTGGGAGCTGTTGGGGTCGAATTTGAGTCTCTGGTTTGGGTAGCAGAAGCGGCTGTTGTTGGCCATGGAATTCTCCAAAACCAGGAGGAAAGATTGCAGGGTTGAAATGAGGGCTCGCGGGGGTGTTGGTTGGCAGAAAATGATGCTGTTGCTGTTGTAGGTGATGTTGGCCACTACTGGCAGATCCTCCAAAGTCAGAAATAATGGGGGAATTTGGAATAATAGGAGGAACAAAGGTGTTGTTGTTAGTGCTGGGATTGTTGGTGGTGGTGGGGTTGGGCAAAAGGGGTTCGTAAAACTGTTGCAGCTCTTGGAAAGCATTGGCTCTGGGCTCGAGGAGATTGGGGAAAGAGAATAATGGGTCAGTTTCCTCCTCGGAATTCAACCAATCCCAAAAAGGGTCTTCTTCCTCCGCGGAGGGTGGGGTAACGGGATTTGTGGGTACGCCGGCGGCGGAAGTGTTAGTGGTGGTGGTGTGGGTGGCTGATTTGCAACTCCTCACCACAGCGTAAAGATCCCAATCATCTGCCATTTCTTGAAACTCTCAACAAACCCACCAGTCCTAATCTTATTTCTGTGTTGCTGCTGCTTGTACTGTTTTAGGCCAATCTTGAGGAAGCACTTGGGTAAATGAAAGACATGGAGAAGGAAAGAGAGGCACAAAGGACGGCGCTGACTTTTGGGCGAGAAGTAAAATCTAGGGGGAGGAAAAAGACGCAGACACAAACACAGACTTAGACATAGACATGGAAATAGATAGATTGTAGTGAGAGGAAATGGTGGAGCACTGACTTGGTAAATTGTTAATTATTTATACTGATATTTTATATTAATTTAACCCAAAAAGAAAGTGAAAAAGAAGAAAAAAGCAAAGGGCATTGCATTTTTTGAAACAAAAAGAGAGAGTGGTTTTAGAGAGGAGGGAAGGGGTATGATGGATTTGGAGGGTGTGAGAGGAAAGGAGAGAGAGCTGTCCTTTTTCATTGACTTTTGTAAAAATGTCAAACAGGGGCCGTACAAACACATCTGATTGGTTGTGTGTGTGAACTCGTCCTCTCATTCGCTATGTATAAGCGTGAAAACAACTGTACAACCACAGATGTGCACATACATACCGCTGAGCATGCCCTACAACTGGCCTATTGCGTTTCAAAAAGCACTTCTCGCACTGAACGTAGTTGCTAAATGGTCTACGTGTGCCCTACACATCAAGAAAGGTTCGAGGGTTGGTGTGGCAAAGAGGAAGAAGAGAGAACCATGGCTGCCAGATTGTCTACAACTATATGCATGGGGCTTGTGTTTAATTTCACACTCTCATGGAAATTGGTTGAAACTATTCACTATTACTATATTATCAAGGTGTTTATATATAATATGCACCACGGTTTAATAATTATATACATATTGCATACAGTATATTTTGCCGTTCTCATTACAAATGCGGAGTGTGGTTCGATAGATTATTTGTAGGATTAACATCAAAAGACCCCCTTAAAGTTTGGGGTCATTCTCAATATAAGTCCTCATGTTTCAATTTTCATCATTTTACATACCTCTATATCTATTTTGATTCATGTTTAAAATTTCAAAATTTCATGAACATTCATAAAATAAATGTTATATCCACTCAGATGAAAGCAACAATAATTTTACTTATTTAAGCAACATCTAAAATAGATATTTCAATTATCGATCCATATGAAATTGGGAGAATTGAAGCTCACTTGTGACATTAATATTATGCAACATACTTGTAGTTCAAGTAAGAGTATTTATTTATGCACCCAACATGTCATAGGTTTAATTCCTTTCTTAATATCAGTCGTATGTTAAAAAATATAAAATAGTATTTATTATATCAAACTGGATGAAAACTTGCTTCGAAACCCACAGTTCGACTTGGGCGAAGTTTGTGAGAAAATATAGAATCAGGGAGATAACAAAGTTTTTTAGTTTTTATTTTTATGATTTACTTCAAATGGTCAACAATACTTAAATACACATGCAGTTTCCTAAACTTTTGGAGCGTCATGGATCATAAAAGGCTGATTCCATTATTACTTTAGATGATCCTAAACATTGAAATGAATAAAGTTCACGAGGGGCTTGTAGCTCAACTTTGAAGTGCACTTAGTAAGAAACATAAAGTGTTTTGGAACTCCTTCATATGACCAACTAGCTCGTTAGTGGTATTTCTCTTTTTAATGTTAGAAGAAATGTTATAAAATGGAGCTCCTCATCCCCATTGATAATAATTTTTTTTTATAAAAAACAGTTATTTATAATAACACCTCTTGAGGTTTTCGGTTTTTTTACAAAATTCCTTGAGGTTTTAGAAATTACTCGAACACCCCTTGAGGTTTGAAATTGTTTTTACAAAACTCATTTTCATTGATTGTGGGTTTGATACAGAACTTCGCGCCGGCATCTAAGGGAGACTGAAAACGCGTGTGAGTGAAAACATGGTACAATAACCTTAGGGATGCAGCCGGTATCCGAACAAATGACAAAAAATTTGGCATTTTGAACAAGCGGACAAATCCAAAAAAAGAAAAAAAGCCCAAAACACTTGTTTGCCACGCTACACTCGGATGGCTCATGGCCTTCCAAAGTTGTACCGCGTGGAGATGATCGAATCCTAACCGTTCATCAACCCCACCTAACCAAACATCCTTCTAGGCCCACGGGCGGTGGGCCCTGCACAAGCATAAACCCCAAAGACAGGGACAGAAAGGGGAAAGATGATGTTCCTTCGTCACCCATTTGAATTGTCTCTTCTCCGCTCTATATATACCAAGTTTGTGTCTGAATTTATGTTTCAGTTGCATTTTTTGATGATGTGTTGTGGGTTGAGGAATCTTGAGCCGTTAAAGATGGGTTTTATTTGTTTAATTATTTCACAAGATGGATTGCAGAATAAGGAAATTGTTTTTATCACAGTTGGCTTTTTTTATATTTTTATTGTGGGAATCTTTGCATTTTGGAACTTCGGTACTTTTAACTTGTATTAAAATCACATATTTCAAAGGGAATTATAAACATTTGTTGCTAAATACTGTACTACGTGGAGAAGGGCGTCATAGGGGTTCGAATATGAGATCGCTAATATACAAGTTAAGAAAATTAACAACAATGAGCGTAGCACTCGGGAGAGCAAAAGAAGTGCCAACCATCGTTGGTAATGGGAGGGAAAAGTAAAACAGCAAACTCGGAATGTGAAGAAAAGAAGCAACAATGATGGTGGCAAAAGATGTACCATCTTTGACTCTCTCGCTACTAATAAAGAATTTCAAGTCGGTAGAAAGAAGAAGAAAAAAGTCAAGTAAAACAATTGAAGGAAAAAGTGCCCACAAAAGTGTAGCCAACCAACCCCAATGAGTTCAGCTTGGAGGAGGAAGGATAGGATCTCTTGTATTCTTATTTATACTAAAAAAGGTAACGGGGAGAAGAATTTTTATTGTCATGTTTATGTAAAAACAGATATAGAATTGTTTATTGGAGTTGGAGAGGAAGGTGCTTCAAATTAAAAGGAAACAAAACTTGAAAAATGTGATTTGGGACCACCACCACTACCATTCACTTCGTTAAGGGGAATAAGATTTGTGATTGATGCTTCTTCTTCATGTCTTTTTTGTTTGGTTGGAACTTGGAAGGGCATTTGGTTGGACCTTTTCAAGTTCAACTCAAACAAGTTCCAGTTGGCCCAGAGACCTATCTACAATGTAATAATCTCCATGATATTGAAGAGTAGGGCAGCCTTAGCTAGATGCACAAAAGTCCAAAGGCGTTTTTGTTCTACATAAATTAGATAGATAAAGATTAGACAGAGAGGCAATATAATGATGTAAAACGAAAAGATATTTGGATTGTGGATGAACCATATAGCTTCATGTATATGTCTTTGTGGACGCTTAAAGATTGATAAGATTAAGATAAAGTGATGTGATTGTCGTTGTCAATGTCATGGGATCTTCAAAAGAATGCATTTTGTTAACTTGGGCAGATCGGCTTGAGAGAGAGAGAGAGAGGTGGGTTTGGCGAAAAGGAGAGGACTCAGAGGAAGGAGGAGGAGGTCTCATGGGTTTGGCAGGAGGAAAGATTAGTGATGACCATGAAGATGCTTTTGGTATCAAATGAAAGCAAAGGCTTCTTTGGATGAACGATCAGTTTATCTATACCGACAACCTCTCAAGCGCTCTTAGGTGATTGTCAACCATTGATGCAGTTGTGGAATTCACTTGCATCAACGACTAACAACTACCCACACTCTCGATGGGCTCGCTGGCTCAACTCTTCCTTCTAAATTCTAATTCATTGCTTTTATGGTGTGGGGAAAAAGAAGAGTCACACACACACTAAGGAGATGTAGATTGTAAAGGGCCACCCACAACACAGCACCAAGGGAACCATCTCCACCACCAACACCACATTTGTAATTCATTGCATATTTAAAATTTTCTTGTCGTGCATGATTATCTTCTTGTTTGTAGTTGCAGTAGTAGTAAACATTATGACAGGCATTTTTGGCCCTCCTTTGTGCTATCTACATCATTTCAGATCATTGTCACTTTGTTACCATTAATGGAAAACAGTGAGGGCCCATGCTTGATTCATTCACCCCTTGGTGCCTAAATGTTTTAAAAAGATGCCATAAACTCCAAAACCAATCTCATATCACCTTCTACTTAACGCCATCCCCCGTTTGCGTTTGCATAGAATCTAAATATAGATTGGAGATAATCTATATACTTAACCTTTACAAGGCCGAGTTGCTTAAAAAGAACAAGAAAGAAGAGAAAAACAAGGCATTTTCTTATCCATTTCATTACATATATGCTCTATAAGAAAACCTTTTTACAACAGTGGTCCATTGGCATATCGTAAAATACATGGTACATAGAGACGTTTAAGAAATCGACATCCCAGCAAAAAGAAATGCACGGCCTATTAACAATGTATTCTCTCTACTTATACCCAAAAAGAACAAGAAAACTGTTGTCAGTTGCGCCCCCTAATTGTTTCCTCCACGAACCCATCTAGCTGAACCTGTCCTTGCCATGCCGGAATAATAATCACCTACATTAGCCACAAATAGTGGATCTCTATCTTCAAATCTTAACTCATTACTCATATCACTACCACCAGCATTTCCTGCATCGGGCTGCTCCAATTCTTTCGTCAAATCCTCCATCGTCTTCTTTAAAGTTGCTTTACTCATCTGCCCTGCCTCACCAGTTGAAATGCCAACCATTGTAATCTTAGGAAGGTTTGGATTTTGCTGTGAGCTCAGCTCCACGCATTCCTTTGACAACTCTTCAGTTTGGTCCTTTTGCTTCAACAAGAGATGACTAAACCAATCTCCAAAAGGGAACCGGAGATCTAATTTGTTTCCTTTATTGGTCTGAATATCATCATTTAATTTAACCTCTGAAGTGCTACAGTGTAGAGAATCTTTATTATCATTTACAGCTTCCCTGTTGGCAAGGCGGTTAGATGACTGAGAAGCTCTAAGAAAAGACACAGCACTCCTGCAAGAAAATTAACATACTTTTGTTAAAAAACAAATTAAGTTGAAACTCTAGCATCCAGAAGCACCCAAATTAACATTCAGAGAAAGATTTAATGAAAGTGCTCAACAATGATACGGAAGATACGAGGGGTCACTAAATTAGGTTATAAAAAGTAATGTTGTTGACCATCGAATATAATGTGAAGTTCTATGTTTTCAATAACACACACACACACACGCATATGCATCAACCCAACAATGGCATGCCATGTACCTTCTCTCAAAAGAGTCACACACACACACACACACACACACATGCATCAACCCAACAATGGCACGCCATGTACCTTCTCTCAAAAGAGTCAACCATATAAGGAAATTTTGGTTGAATGCCGGTTGCTTTCCTTAACCACCTATTACCAAGCAGTACTTTATCAACAGCATAAAGGAGTTGCATTTCAGCAGCCTTAGAAATGACACTCAAAGGTATTCCAGGATTCCCCATTTCATCCATTACTTCCTGAACCTGTCAAGAAATATATGTTACAACGAACCAAATACACAATACAAGAGAACAGGACTAAGGGGACCTGGGAACTTTTAAACTTAATTTATACATCTATATATTTCTATGTCAGACGAATAAGGAATCATTCTTCTAAGCTTATCATTGACGATGTGAATCCAAAATCAGATCATCTTAAAATCTTGTAAATGCAGCACCACCAAAATAGTTGCTCCATCGAAGTAATACTTTACATTGTGATTTCGTACCTCTGGAGGCTCCCATAAGTTATCTCCCATCTCTTCAATTACTTCTGCTGGCAAGCTGTCATCAATCACATCCCGTCGACGCTGCATGTGCCGAGTTTGAATTAAAGAATGGAAATGCTGATCTACAGATTCCTCAAGAATGTTATCAAGCATGTTTTTATCAAAAAAGTAGGGAGTATACCTGTTGGAACAAAAGATAAGGAATTGGGCATCAGCTATTCTGAACTTAACTACAAAAAAGAAAATAAACTGGTTCTGATGAAATAGAAGTAATCATGCCACTAAAAGACCGGCCTTCAGTTGAAAAATAACAAAAAAATTCTTTTGGTTTTCAACCACAAAAATAATGGATATACAGTACTTCCATATACTACAGACAATTGAAGAAATTTTCTTTTATTGAAAATCAAAATCTGAATGTGGTTGCTCAAAAATAACTCTAAGCCTATGTTTCGTGAAACTTATTGGTTTTTTGTTTATGCGGAAATCATTCATATAATTTTAAATGGACAGGGAATATACGTATCAGAATTCTAAAACCAGAAACAAGAGAAAAAAACATTAGAACACACCATTTGATCCCATCTGAGCTTGCTATTGCAATATCCAAGTTTTGAGCACTAAAAACTGGGACTCCGTCAACCCTTTTGCATCTGCCATTCTGCTGCATTGCCTTGAGAAGTTTGTTAGCTGCCTTGACCTGTAGAAGCAACAAATGTTAAGAAATCCTAACACATCATGAAATATGGTTGTCAATTGAAATAGCATACCTGTTTCTCATTTGGAACAAACTGGAACAAGTGGGGCTTTTCCTGCATACAAGATAGTGAACAACTTACTAGTTAATCCAAAGAGGAGCATAGCATACCATGGAAATTAATAATATAAAAAGTTCTAAAAAAAGGCAATATAAATATTAATAAATCCATAATGTGGCACATCCAAACTATGACGCAGGTGCATGCTTTCTATCCATTACTTCATAATCAGAACAGCAATGATGCATGCACCTGTCTTATCATTGTTTTTCCAATGATGCCATAAGGGCAATTAAGCCAATGCGAAAACCATAGCAACTATTAAATCTATCTTACATACTTTTCAAGCGGGGATTACCTTGAAATGTTCATATGCTAAATCAAGACGGCAAGCACCCACCACACCACTTGGAATATTCAGCCGTTTCACATATGTAACTAAGAACAAAACCTCAGTCAGAATGTAGGTCATCTCTTTATAGAAAATTTGATCAGTTGAATGATATTCAAAGAAACAGTGAAGAGAAACATATCACACCCTAATAAAAAATTAAAAAAAAACACACGCACACGCGCGCGCGCACACACACACACACACACAGAAAGAACAACCAAAGACAACCACATCAAGCAGGATTACCATTGGATAATTATAAGTATATCATAGCCAGTAGAGTTGTGAAAATTTGGCTGGGTTGCATTAATTTCTTTCTTTAAGTCCAACGTAACCAATAACCAATAAAACCAAGCAGTTGTTTATTTGGAACTATACCTGCATCGCCTAAATCCATAAAAAAACGGAACACAGGGCCATTTCTCTCACTATTAGTAACTGATGCAAACATCTTCTTGAGCCACTCAGGAGTTCTACAAGTACAGGCCATGAAAAATGAAAATCAGTAAAAAGCTCATGTAAAAGACAGCATCTTTATCAAATTTTGAATTGAAAGTCCAAATACATACATGATAACCGAGCAAGAAATTAACTTCTTTAAAAGAATAAAAACAAAATACCACCGTTGCAAAACAATGCTACTCCTAGTAAAAGTTAAATAAGGCACCTTTTGGAAATGAAGGGTATGTCAAAGTGAGTGGAGACGGCCATGAGACCAGTCCCAGAGAGGTCACACATACTGAAGACCTGGCCCACAAAGGCCGGCCCACCACCCTTGATATTCGAGTTCAGCCCTGCAATCCTGACCGTTGACGGGAACCCCGAGTTTGACTCAGACGAGGACTCCACGCCCTTCATTGCGGATTTGAAGTCCGGTTGAGCCGAATGGAAGGCGAGTGGTTTCGGCGAGTTGGGGAAGAGGAACGCGACACGGATTGTTGACGCTGTCGACGGCGTCGTTTTGGGGGAGGCGAAGAGAGAGAGGAGATTGGCTGCGGTGGAGTGGACCAAGTGGGATATGGGTCTGGCTTGCTTCTTGTGTGCTGGCTCGGTTGGGGAGGCCATGAATAAGGACCTTTCAGCTATCGATGGATTTGTCGAAGTGTGTGTATAGGAAAAGGGAGAGCCTAGAGGATGAGGCTCCAGACCAGAGAGAGAGAGGGGAGAGAGAGAGAGAGATATCTAATTGGGATGACGTTGCAAGTTTTAATTTACGCACACGACACGTCGTTTAGACAAAAAGAAGAATTTTGGGCCAGAATAGGCCCATTAGACAAAATGAACCATTTTGGGCTAGGATAGGCCAATTATAGAGTAAGACCAAATAAAACCCAGGAAGCTCGTCTTCCCATCCGAAAACGCTCAACCTCTCTCTCTCTCTCTCTGTAATCGCGCCATCGCACGGACAGAGTGCCTCAGAATCAGATCGCGACCTCTGGTTTTTCATTTTCCAGGCAATATATCTTTCTACTATATATTTTTTTTGTGTGGAGATTTTGTATTTGAAATTCAGTTCTCTGAATTTTGATTAAGGTCTGTATGAGCTGTTTTTGTTTGTGTGCATGAACTGGTACGCATGCGTTTTGAATATTTGTAACAATTTCGATAATTGTCATTAATTTAATTCTCCATGCTCGTGTTTTTTGGGTTGATTTATGTATTGCTGAAGCTTTGGTACTCCATTTTTTGCGTGTGTTTAGGTTAATCAGCTCTTTTAGGCTAAACAAATTTGAATTGGCTGTACTGAGTCTGAGTTCGCTACCTTCCATGCATATGAGTACTCAGTCATTGACTTGATCAACTTTACAATCATAGGATTCTGTTTTTTGTTTTTTATGTCATAATTTCGCTGAATTATCGAGCTTCTTTGATTTTGATTGGTCTTAGTTTTTTAATGGCCTAATTCTGATTTTGATTTTGATTTTGATTTTTTAAAATTCCGTTAGGGAACTCAAATTTCTTGTGTGATTGATGTTTTTTGCGGTATAATCATGAATTCTAATCTCTCTAACACTCGTTTGATGCCATTGCATTGGAGGTGTTTTGAAATTCAGATTTGCATCACACTCTACGTGCTCTGCTTGTAGATGCCACTTTGTCTACAACTCTCTGAGAACTGATTTGTTCGAACCAAAATCAATTCTGCAGGCATAATATCTATATACGAGTAGTATAGACAGGTTCCCATGGCTGCTTCGGAAGAGAATAGCGCTTTGTTCCCAATTTTCATTTTAACTATAATGGCACTGCCTCTAGTGCCTTATACAATAACAAAGTTATGTCGTGCTGCATCAAAGAAAACAAAGAGCATCCACTGCCAGTGCTCTGAGTGCTTTCGGTCAGGAAAGTACCGGAGGTCAATATTTAAGAGGGTTAGTTCCTCCATTGTTGCTTAAATGTGTTCTCCATTTATTCATTGCAGGAAAAATTCCAAATTATTGTTTTAAACCATCTAACTATGGTCTGAATGTATGTGGCTGTGGTCACTTTTGCAGATTTCAAACTTCTCAACATGGAGCAACTTGACATTAGTACTGCTTTGGGTCATCATGATAGTCCTGGTTTATTACATCAAAAATATGAGTCGTGAGGTAAGCATTTCAATCCAATTTGAGGCATTAATAGAAGGCGTGTGATTATGTATGGTTTTCCTCCCCATGTTTAACATTTCCATGCTACTAAAGTTCAGTTAATTTGGATTTCATATGAGATTTGCAATGTCGTGTCTTCATCCTTAGAATGATGGAATGGTGAATTTCATTTGGGATATCTTTTCATTTTTCACTTTTTAAATTCACTCAGAACCAAGTTTTCGAGCCATTCAGTATTCTTGGACTGGAACCCGGTGCTTCAGATTCAGAAATCAAGAAGGCATATAGGAGACTCTCTATACAATACCATCCAGATAAAAATCCAGACCCAGGTTGATGGTATTTTGGTTTTTGAGTTTATGCATGCTTGTCGCCTGATTAGTGAAAATAGAAGGAAAAATGGGGCCTTTTATGAGTAGTACGTATACACTAACAGTTTAAAATTTTCCTTTTTTCAGAGGCCCACAATTATTTTGTGGAGTTCATATCAAAGGCTTATCAGGCTCTGACAGATCCAGTGTCTCGTGAGAATTTTGAAAAATATGGCCATCCAGATGGCAGGCAGGTAATGTGCAATTTATTCGAGGAATTGCAACTTTGTTTCAGTGTTTCCTTGTCAATACTATATCAGGTATAATTAATCATGTTTTGAAACTGAATTGATGCTTTACTCCAATAGGGGTTTCAAATGGGCATAGCTCTTCCTCAATTCCTGCTACACATCGATGGGGCATCTGGTGGAATACTCTTACTCTGGATTGTTGGTGTTTGTATTTTATTGCCTTTGGTGATAGCTGTTGTGTATCTTTCAAGGTCGGCAAAATATACCGGCAACTATGTTATGCATCAAACATTGTCCACTTACTATTACTTTATGAAGCCTTCTTTGGCTCCCAGGTACTCAGTTTATTCAGAAGCTATGTTCATGTTTAATTTTGATAACGTAATATATTAAATCTTCCCATAGTAATAAATTGGCATATGTTGAGCACCAGAGTTGACGAAGTACGTCTTGCCTATCCTTATGTTCTTGATATTTTGATGGATCTGGTGCATATTAACCTGTGCTCTCTGTTAATTTTTTATTGATCTTATGAGATAACTTGATTATACAGCAAAGTAATGGATGTCTTCATAAAGGCTGCTGAATATACGGAAATTCCGGTTCGTAGAACTGACAACGAACCCCTTCAGAAGCTTTTTATGCTAGTCAGGAGTGAGTTGAATCTGGACCTTAAGAACATCAAGCAAGAGCAGGCAAAGTTTTGGAAGCAGCATCCAGCCCTTGTAAAGGTAGTTTGTGCTCCAAGACAGGGCTATATTACCAGAAAAGTTTGTTCCAGTCTTTGATAATTATCTATGCTTACCTTTATGCCAATCTCTGTGCAGACAGAATTGTTGATTCAAGCACAGTTAACTCGTGAGTCAGCATCCTTATCTCCATCTTTGCAAGGTGATTTTAGACGTGTTCTGGAACTTGCCCCTCGCCTCCTTGAAGAGTTGATGAAGGTGATCACTACATTTCCTGTCTTACATTCTATTAGTAGCCTCTAAATTAAGTGCTTATGCTGCTTATAAGTTGCAGACTTTCCATAATTCTGGATTATATCACTCATCTTTGTGAATAGACTTCTTGTTTCAAAGGGTACAGAAGTTGGTAGGATGCTGCTAGTATTTCTGGAAATCAATCGATCAAATTGATGTGCTAGTATTTCTGATGAATGTACCAAATTTGGAAGCCACATTGTGCTAGTTTTAATTAAGCTATATTCTATGCAGATGGCAGTTATGCCACGAAATGCTCAGGGGCAGGGATGGCTGAGGCCTGCTATTGGGGTGGTTGAACTCTCTCAGTGTATCATCCAGGTGACAGTCCATTATCCACTTTTGTTAAGCATGTAGATCTTTCAAATATACTAATCATGCGAATTCTCCTTTTAAAAAAAATACCAAATACTTGAGATTTCTGATTATGAGGCATCTCTCTCTCTCTCTCTCTCTCTCTCTCTCTCTCTCTGATATCATTTGTACCTTCTACGACGAATCTGTACTAATTTTTGGATTTTTGTTATTTTATTGGCCATAATGCAGGCTGTTCCTCTTAGTGCAAGGAAGGCTACTGGAGGATCCAGTGAAGGCATTGCCCCTTTTCTGCAGCTGCCACATTTTAGTGAGGCTGTTATAAAAAAGATAGCCCGCAAGGTAAATAGTCGTGTTTTGGACAATGTCATGCTGGAATACAACTGTTTAATGTTTAAAAATAAAGTATTCTGTGAATCTCTCGTTCTGAGACTGAATGAGCAGCACATCTTCATTCTGTAATAATTTTTCATGTTGGTTTGTTTCACTTTTATGTGTTGATCTTCTCTTTTCTCTCCCAGCTAGTCTTTTTGTCTTTTGATCTTAGCTTTAATAATTCTTCTTCTTGAATTTGCAGAAGCTGAGAGTATTGCAGGAGCTTCAGGACATGTCCTTGCAAGATCGTGCTGAGCTACTTTCTCAAACAGCTGGATTCTCGTCCAATGAAGTGCAGGATGTTGAAATGGTATTGGAAACAATGCCTTCGATATCAATTGAAGTCAAATGTGAGACCGAAGGTGAAGAGGGTATGCAAGAGGGTGACATTGTCACTGTTCATGCTTGGGTGACACTAAAACGTGCCAACGGCCTGATTGGTGCCCTTCCCCATGCCCCGTACTTCCCGTTTCACAAGGAAGAAAATTTCTGGTTTTTGCTTGCAGACAGTGTCTCCAATAATGTTTGGTTTTGGCAGAAGGTAAATTTCATGGATGAAACTGCAGCTATTACTGCTGCCTCCAAGGCAATTGAGGAAACAATGGAGGGTTCAGGAGCAAATATGAAGGAGACTAGTGCTGCTGTCAAAGAAGCAGTTGAGAAGGTGAAGAGTGGGTCTAGACTGGTAACAGGGAAGTTACCGGCCCCAGTGGAGGGGAATTACAATTTGACATGTTACTGCTTGTGTGACTCTTGGATTGGTTGTGATAGAAAGACAAACTTGAAGATAAAGATTTTGAAGCGTACCCGGGCTGGTACACGGGGAGGTTTTGTGGCAGAAGAGGGACCAATTGCAGAGGATGGGATTGAAGAGGAGGAAGAGAATGAAGATGAGGAATATGACGATGATTATGAGAGTGAGTACAGCGAAGATGAGGCAGATGAACAACACGATACAAAAAAGAAAGGCCCTGCAGCAAATGGCACTGTGGATAAACAAGTCTTAGGCTCTGAAGGTGAAGGTTCAGAGGAGGACTAGAACAAATACAATTTTATCTAGTTTACTTTGTTGTTCATTTATCCGTTATTCGGTGAAAGAATTCAAACAGCCACCACAGTGATGGTTACCATGTGGCCATCTTTAATTTGGAAGATCCTAGTTTTGATACTTAAAACGTGAGTTCTAAGCCCATTTTCAGTTATTAAAATTTTAGACTCTTTTTTCTTCTTCGTCTAATTCACGTCTTTCTTGGAACAAAATTTACTCATAAGCAATGCAAAATGGGTGGCAGTTTGAATGACGCAAAGAGCGAGACTCAAAAACATGATTTTGTTCCTCCAGATTTAAACATAAACCATCCCACCACTTGCTTCCCTGCCCGGATTTAAGCAGATGTCAGATTATAGTTTGATCATTGGTTTTCAACAGTTTCAAAAAGAGATTTTTTATTTAAACCTCACACTTTTCTCAGTACACCCCAACTTCTAATTAAAATTTTCACAATTTCTAAGAAAATTTCATTATTTTCCCAAACTACCCTTAAATACACCTCAAGCTGAAAAAATAAGAAATAAAAGAAATTTTTTATTTAAATCGCACAAGCTATCCTTAGAGGAGGTAGTACGTTGTGCGCATGAGAAATAGTAAGTAATTAAATTAGTTTTTTTTGTAAACACACATGGGATTAAGAGGTTGCAAAGGGAAGTTTCATATTTCATGAAGTATAAAACACGCAATGGTGTAAGTAGCCGCTAAGTTTGATAAAGTATCCTGACCAAATGGGTCAAATTGTTAAACGAATTTGACAGATTTGTTGACAATGTTAATTTATAGATTGGAAATTTTTTTGTGCATAATATGTGATTCTTATTTGATTTCTACCTCCGAATGCCATCTAGAATTTTCAAACATTGAAACACTATGTACTGAAGCTTTAGGCACTTTGGGTTGATTCATTGTTTCACTTCCTCTACCTCAATTGTACCTGAAAAACGGATATATATACCATGGGAGATAAACATGAAAGAAGGTGTAACCTAATAAAACTTTATAAAAGTTTGCAAAACCCAATAGGTCGGATGAAAATGTTAAGTATTAAATTGGATGACTTTTTTTGTCTTTTTACACAATAATAAAACTTACAGCTTAATAATAGTATCGGAATGAACAAAGAAAAGTGTGGGATTTAAATAAAAAATCTCTTCAAAAATTATGCCATGAACTCTCAATTCCATGTGTGATTTCAATTCCATGTGTGAAACAAACGCCGACCTATCGTAAGGCAAAGTTATGTGATGTTTGTTTTATTGATTCGCTAGCTCAACTGTGATATTACTCAACGACCATTTATAAATTTGTCATCAAGAGGAGAGGCATAGCCTAGAATGTTTGGTATTCATAATTACAACACTTCCTTCACGGCTTCTTTTGATCTGTGTGACTCACATCAACGACGAAGATCAGAGAAACAAATTGGACCCTACAGTTTCTCCCTGACAACATCACATTTTGAATATCTCCGGCTCCATGTCAAAAAGAAGAAAGCAAAGCCGAGTTCGTTTTGCCTCCTTTCTCACCAGACAACCATCCCATAATGATTAGAAGTGGTTAGGGAGAAGTAAAACATGATAACCCTCTGATGTATCTGACTGGTCATGGAGGGGTTCTAGATTCAATCGTGAGTTCATCTAAACTTGTTTCAGCTTCCTCGAGTAAATCACTTGAGTTCTGGTCCCCTTCCTCAGCTACAACAACGTCTTCATTTGGATTTGATTCAGCTTCTAACAATTCTTCTGAGCTGTGGACTGTTTCCTTCTCCTTACTCCGCATTTTTTCAGCACCATCATTTTCATAATTTGCTCGAATTTTAACACGTTTTCCTTTGATGTATCGATACTCCCATTTTGGTGGTGGATATTTCTGCTTCAACTTATGGTATTTGTCCAACATACCCAACTCCTGAAAGACATTTCCAACTTTTGTAACAATTGAAACATTCGGTTGGACCCCAAGCTCCTCCATGTCAGCAAAAATCTACAAGTGAAATTTTGCCATAAGTTAAAAACTCATTTGTGCATGAAACACAGATGACTCCCTATACAAACTAGCATGACATTTGGCCTTTAAGGCATAGGAGATTGAATTCATTTCTCAACCAAAATCCATATAATTTGCAGGAACTTCAAATCTGGAACAACTATACGCAATATACTTATAGATTGGTTCAGATATTGAAGTGTTCCTAATCTGTAAATGAATGATATGATGTCTTTAGGCTTTGGTTCCAAGAGAAGTATTTGTACTCTGCAAAAGATAATCGTACATGCTAATGGAAGTGAGCAGTGGAACCATGGAAAAGATAAATGTGGTAGGATTTAAATACCTCAAACATCTTGTCATGTATGCCGTGCCGATAGTAAATAGAAATCATTTTGTCAAAGAACATGCGAGGCATGCTTTCCAAATACTGTGAGAATAACTTTGTCCATAGCTCTTCAGCTTCTTCGACTCTCCCATCCTCTGCCAAAGCATTTAATAGTGTAAAATAGGTTCCCATTGTTCTTCCTTGACCTTTGCTTAACATCCACTTTGATACCTACAATCCCACATGTGATTTGTGACACATTTAACAATTAGAACCTATTCATGATGCTGAGCACAGAATGAAGAACAAAAAAAAAAACCTGAATTATCCTCTTCCATTCTTTTTGATTCTCAAGGGTCTTCAATGCCTTCTTCACTGTAATCAGAGGGAATTCTAATTCCCAAGCAATGAAAGAATCAAGGGCCCCATAAACTTCCTCCTTGACATTTGACAATCCTTTAATCTACAAAAGAAATTATCTTTTCAAAACCAAGCACAAAGATAGGAAACAGAGATTAAAAGAAAAGAAAGAAAGAGCATAAAAAACTTACAGACTCAACAAGCTTAATCGATTTGGAAATGGTCCCAATTCTCTTATTGGCTTTCCAGACTCTTGGGTACCTGGGTCTTGGACCTTTTGCAGCACATACCTGAATAAATTATTGACAAAATAGCAAGAAAATGAAACCCAGAAAACAAAATGTATAATTTAAGAAGAAAGTTATTATCTTTCTGCATTTACAATTTCAAAATATGCAAATAACAAAAATGGACAGAAGCTTACCACTACACTGCTTCTACTGTGGGAGATTTTGATAAATTCCGGTCGCCGAGTAAAGACCGGAAGTGAGTATGTCAAGGTAAGCATACTCAGTAAGGCATTTAATATCTGAAATTTAGCTCAGCTCAAGTTTATGGAAGCAGACACAGACAGAGAGAGAGAGAGTGGCTGAGACCAGAGCGGCAGAGCGTGTGTTTTCGGAAGATATTTTAATCTTTTATTTTTCTCTCCCAAATCTTATTTTGATTTTGATTTTGATTTTCTATCTAGCCAAACACGGGAAGGGGGAAGTAAATAATATTGCCTTGGCTACACAAAACGGTGCGCTGTAGCTTCATAACAGACGCTTTTATTTATTCGCGACCGCAGAGAATCCAAGCCATTTAGAAGCCAAACTCCAAAGAAAGAGCACCTCATCCTTTCAGACTCTTGAGAGAGATATTTTGTGGATCTCACACTTGCATTAACTAAAAGAGACGACAAGGAACGATGATGATGATCGAGTCAGCCATGGCCGTACGATTCCACGCCGGCGCAAAGCTCTGCCCCTCCACCTCCATGACTTGTAACTCCCTCTCTCTCCCGCCTTACTTCAAAAGCTCAATTAAGCCAAAAGTTTTAAGCTTTGAATTTTCTGTTCACATTTTCCTGCGTTTTCTCTGTTGCCAAACGGTACGTTCTATATCGTTTCTTTTGTTGTTGTAGCATATCGTCCAACGCGGAGCTCGGAGGACGCGGCCGGAGCCGTACACGTCACTTCTTGCCGCCTTTCGTGCTCTGGTGGTTTTGGCGTGCCGCGGTACGCTAACTAATTTGATTTTTATTGTTAAGCAGCTGAGCCTTTTGTTTTCTTGCTAGTTAACCAGCTTGAATTTCACGGCTTTGAAAATGCATAAATGTGCTAAGACTTATAATGCAGGAGTCGAATTCGACGGTCAAAGAATGGTTCAGTTGCAAAAAGGAGCAATTTTGTAAAGAACAGGCCTATTCGAGCATCCCTGGGGCAGTTAGGGCCGGGTTCGGAGCCTATAAAGCCGAATGGGAGGCCACAATACCATCCATTTGAGGATATTGCTGAGTCCAAATTAGAGACTAATGGAACTGCTAGACTTACAGCTGCAGAATCTGCTAGGACCATTATTGAGGTAGTACATTGTGATTGTATTATTCACTTTCTAATAAGCAGACCCAAGTTTGAATATTTGAATTCTAATATATACACTTGTGTTATTTATATGCTCACTTATTGGTGTTTTGATAGTTCTGCACTATGCTGCTCATTCTTTTATCAAGGTTTTGCATAGCTAATGTTGCCCATAGTGTGACATTTTCAGGTTAACAGCAAAGCAACGCTCATGTTTTCAAGTTTGATAAACGACGAAGTTCATGAAAATATTATCTGTCCGGATTTGCCTTATGTAACTGATGAACATGGAAGTGAGTCATACACAAGTGTATGAGTTTCTCATCATACATTGGACCTTGCATAAAATGAAGTTCTAATCTCTTTTATCATGTCACAGATATCTACTTTCAAGTGAAGGATAGTGAAGACACTATGCAATCCCTAACTTCAGAAAATAATTATGTGGTATGCAATTTTCATAAGCACATTACAAGAACATGATTACTAATAATAATCTGAAGAAATGATTGCATTCTAGCAGCAGTTTTTTTCTCTAGATTTTTTCTTATGGAGTCTTGTGGGTTATTATAATGATGCAGCAAGTTATTATTGGCTTAGATACTATGGAAATGATCAGTGAGATGGAGTTACCCGAAATTGATTTTGGAATGGATGGGATTGAAGATGAAGATAGTGATGTTGAAGATGATAATGATAACGATGAGGATGGTGATGAAGAAGATGGTGACTACGATTCGGTCTGTCTTGTGTTTTTGTCTCCCAAGATCTGAATGCATGGATGTAGTTGTCAGACATTTCTAATTATATAATAGATTCTGGTATAGGATTGGGTTGCTGTTCTTGAAGATGAAGACGAAGACGAAGACGATATGGATGATTCTGACAAGTCTCTTGGAGACTGGGCAAAACTGGAGACTATGCGTTATTCTCACCCAATGTATTTTGCCAAGAAGCTAACTGAGGTAATTGTCAATTGTAATTTCTCACCCCACTGTGTGGTGATGTAGAAGTACTCATAGGCGATTGAACTTTAAGATGACATGACATAGTACTTCTTATTATACCATATTGGAAATATTTTATTCTTGTGCTTTTATTTTGGTAATAAGGGTAAATTATTGTGCTTTTCATTTGCTCACTTGGTGTGCCTTTTCCTTATTTGAAAACTCTAGTTGCAATTGTATCCCACTTATGGTCTTTGGTGAAGTTATCATTTCTTAAAGTTTCTCATAGTTTTTACTTTTTAGGTTGCTTCTGATGACCCTATAGATTGGGCGGAGCAGGCTCCTGCTAGTTTGGCTATTCAAGGCCTTATAAGGCCCGCATTAATTGAAGAACATTCTGTCATCCAAAAGCATATGTCTGATCATCAATCTAGTAATGATGGCGTAGATTCAGTAGGGAGTATCGTAGAAGATGATTTAGAAGATCCTGTTAGGATTAATGGCCATGAATCAGGATCTTCCAAGGATAGTCCAGTCCAAGCAGAGGAATTGGAGAACAAGAAGGATGAAATATCAAGAAATGGGACTACATTTTACAAACTGGAGATGGTTAAGATTCAGCTGTTTTCATCACATGGAAATCAGGTTTGTGTACGGATTTTAGTTGTATTTTTGTTATGCAAGTAAATGCTGCTCAATTTCTTTTTAATAATTAATCTTTGATTGTAATTCTCCACAGACTGTTGTTGAAGTAGAAGATTTTGTAAAAGCTCAACCCGATGCCATTGCACACTCGGCAGCTAAAATTATTTCTCGTTTGAATGCTGGTGGAGAAAAGACCACACAAGCTCTCAAGTCCCTCTGTTGGAGACTAAAGGGTCTTCAAGTGGAGGTAACATATTCAAACTTTGTAATCAATTTTCCAAATCTTTTTGGAAAGGTTGTAGATTTTGCACAATTTTGTACAATTTTGAAGCATTTCAAAACATACTTGCTTCAGAAAGGTTGTTTTCCCATTGGAATGCCCAACTTCTGTGATACATGAAATCATCATTTTCATCCACTATGGCTTTAATGTGATTTTGTATGAATGAGAAAAATCTGTTTTCTGCTTTCTGGGTGTTATTTTTCATCTGTTGCAATCTTGTGAAATTTTTTCATGAACATTGTACTATTGTAATCTGTAAATGATTAATCATTGCTGTATCTTATTGCAGGAGGCAGTACTTATTGGTGTAGATTCCCTTGGATTTGACTTAAGGGTTTGCTCAGGGACACAAGTCCAGACATTGCGATTTGCACTTAATACACGGGTATGCCAATTATTTTTAAACTTTGAGGTTTAATATTTCATGTACCATCTCTGAAGCACAGTCAAATGTAGGTGCATATTCCTGTGTTGCTTTTCTGGAACCATGAAATACAATATGCCTATGTTTACCCTGTCTACCCGTGTCTTTTCAGGCCACTTCTGAGTACAGTGCTGAGAGACAACTTAATGATCTACTTTTCCCAAGGATCCAGCACAAACCACAAACAGTGAAACAAAGTTAGCAAAAACGAATGCCAACTTTATCAACACTGTCGAGTGCCATCTTCGAGTTGATTCTAGCTGGTTTCTTCCTTGTGCCTCTTTGCAGAGATTTGGATATAACAGGTGAGGAGGGGAATTGAAAATTTCATGCACAGTCCACCAGGTCATGTATTGTTAATTGCAATTAATGATTATGGAAATTCATTGTTTTCTAAGCTTTGTGACTCTCGACTCGACCTTGTACATTATTTTTTAAACTTGCTCATCTTGCTGCTCGGTCTAATGCCATAGAAAGTGGATGTAGAAGTAACTTCAAAGTAGAAATGCTGTGATTTAACAAAGACATAGAGAACTTAGTATTGGGAGGCGTTTTTCTGATCAACTAGAACGTTCATGAGTTTTACCAAATAAATAATAAGTTTCTTCAGCAATTTATTGTAATTTTTTGTCTGAGTCAGTTTTTATCCTTACCTCATTGGCCTTGTTTCAACCGATTTGATTATATTGAAGTTAAATTTATTTTTTCGGCGGATGAGAGTGTGTTACTTGATCTTAGCAATGTAAGAACCATCTGCAGAACAGATTGTGATTTTAGCAATGTAATTTTTCTTTCTTTGGGGATCAACTGGCTGCTCTACTTTTTATAATCCGAACTCAATATACTTCGTGCATCTGTCCTAAATTTAGGATTGGCATACAACATAATGCATTTTCCTTTTGCTGTTGTATACTAATAATAATAATAATAAAACATAGTTTTGGTGTTGCATTTTATTCACTGATTATGTTCTCAAAGTACAAATTGAGGAACAAAGACCAGAATTCAAAACTTCAAAAGGAAAATTCGATTTGTGTGTAAGAAAGCATCACTGATTTTGCTGCATGTGGGTTTCATAGACCAATTGTGCTGCAAGAATATCCACAACTGCAGAACCGACTGACTTGAACACAGTAATCTCCTCACAGCTTCTTCTCCCAGCCTTGTCTCCCTTGATCAACTCCACCAGCATCCCACAAACATCTGCCTTCCCAATCACCCCTCTCTCAAACGCACCTACCAGCTCCCCTGCCTCCACCAACGCAGCCTCATTATCAACAAACACTCTCCCTCTCCTTATCGCCTCGTCATCACACTCCTTCATTGAGTGCTTGAAAGATCCAACCAAGTCCAAGTGCGCCCCTGCCTTCAGCGTCTTCCCCTTCACAAGAGGCACCTCCGAATTCGTCGCGCAGCTGACGATGTCCCCCATCCCAACCACCTCATCCAAGCATCCACTGCTCTCGAAACAGACCCCTTCAAATGCCACACTTTCTTGCATTTTCTCAGCCAAATTTCTGGCCTTTTCCACTGTTCGGTTCCATATGATCACTTTCTTCAAACTGGGCCTTGCCGCGAGATGGGCTCTGATCAAATGAGGTGCCAAAGCACCTGCACCGATCATCACCAGGACTTGGCTGTCGTTTCTGGACAAAATCCTCGAAGCCAAGGCAGAAACGCAAGAAGTCCTGTAAAGGGTCAGTGCGGTGCCGTCCATGGTGGCCAAGGTTTGCCCAGTTGTGGAGCTGAAAAGCACGTAATTTGCGTGCACCCCGGGTAAGTTTAGCGCGGAATTTTGTGGGAAGTAGGTCACGAGCTTGACGCCTAAGTAGGGAAGAGAAGGGGAGGAGGACCAAGAGGGCATGAGGAGGAGAGAGGAAGAGGGTGAAACGTCGTAGCTTTGGCGGATTGGGGAACATAGAGAAGCTGAGACTGTGGGAAGTGAAGATTGGAAATGATTTATCAGAGTTTGGTGAGAGAGGAGGGAGTCTAGAGACTCAGTGGTGATGACGATTGGGAATGTTATGGTGGCAGAAGCCATTGATAAAAGACTTGAGAGTTTGGGAGTTTGTTTGTTTGTTTTTTCGATGGAGAGAGAGGAGAGAGAGAAAGAGGCAAATATAAGCACGATAGAAATGTAGGACTTAGAGGGGAGGCAGCAGTGGACCAAGACTTTGCACATTTGTTTGGTTATTTAGCTCGATATAGAATATTCAATATTGTTATGGGGTGAGTGAATAAAACTTAAAAGTAAACAAACGTTGGCAAAAAAGTGAATGGTGCTAATAATATGAGGTCCATGGGCCTAAAATGACCCTCGCAAGCAACCACCCAACCTCCTCATTCCATCGGCTGCCTGTTTCAATTGAGTTTGAAACGCAGAAAGCAAAACAAGTCCAACAAGGATGGCAAATCGATCCAGAGCTTCGTGGGCGAGACGATTTTGATTGAACCCACCATAATTAAGGTCGGCTTTTTTACGCAAACCAAGAATAAAATCAAACTTAACATATGAGCTGCTACTTAAACTCTACAAGAAAATAAATCAAGTACGTTACATACGTATCAAGAAGTTAACAAAAAATTAAGGCTTTTTATCACAAATGGTCCTTCACGTTTTCGAAATTATCACGAATGGTCCTTGAGGTTTTTTTGTGACACTAATAGTCCTTAACGTTTGGACTTTTTATCACAAATGGTCCCTACCGTCAAAAATTCTGTTAAGTGTCTGAGGTGGAAGAAAAGTGGAACCCACATGTCCAATTACATCGTGACATGTGGATTAAATAAATAAAGAAATATTTTTTTAATGAAAATTCATTAAAAAATCATTTAGCCTCTCTCTCTCTCTCTCTCTCTCTCTATCTCTCTTTTCCTCTGCCCTCTCTCCTTCCTGTGCTTTCCCTCTCCCTCTGTTCTATTTCAGCCAAGACTAATTGAGCCTCTCTGTTGTTTCGTTTTCTTAAGAAATCTATTTCAGCCAAGACAAACCAAATAGCTGGGAATGCCTTAATTTCCCCAAGCCCAATACTTCAAGATCTTAATTTTATAATTCCATCAATATTTAATCAACCAAATACAAAATGAAGCATCAAATATCAGTCCCACCGAGCAGTAATCTTCACTTTTGCCAAATATCCGTACAAAATGTGCAGATGATGGGCTGACCGAGCAGTAATCTTCACTTTTGTCAAATATCAAAGTTAAAATAAAAAGAAGCCGGTTTTTTTTATTTTTAAAATTTTCCCCTACAGACCAACCAATGGGTACTCAAAGTGAAGAATATTGAAGATCAAAGTGAAGATATCACCAAGCAGTTATCTTCACTTCTGTCAAATACTTCAAGCTAAACTGAAATCTCAGATCAGTGAGCAACTCACAGATAGCTAACGAGCATCAGATTGCGAGGTCGATAAGAGTGCTGCACACTGGGGAGAAGAGCGCTGCTCTTTGGGGACTTTCATCGAGCAATTTGCAGAGGTCAAATTTCTCCCCTCTAATGGCAGATCCCAGAGTTGCAGGGGTCACTTGACCACCCTTACTCTTCTGTGGATCCGTCCCTGAGAGCAACTGTATATCTTACATTTTTTCTTGCAGGTGACAGAGGGAAAGAAAAAAACAAAGGGAGAAGAGATGGAGAGCAAAGGGTGGAGAGCAAGGGCAGAGGGGGAGAGAGACGGAGTAAGGAAGGGGATGAAAAGTTGCAGAAAAAAAATATGGAATTTTCATTAAAAATGTATTTAATTATTTTTTTTAATCCACATGTCACAATGTGATTGGACATGTGGGCTCCACTTACCTTCCACATCACACTTAACGGAATTTATAACGGCAGGGACCATTTGTGATAAAAAAATCCAAATGTTAAGGACTATTAGTGTCACAAAAAAAGATCAAGGACCATTCGTGATAATTTCGTAAACGTTAAGGACCATTTGTGATAAAAAGCCAAAAATTAATAATAAAAAAAGACAACTTATTGTAACCAAATCAAGTTGCCAATAAGATTCAGAATTGGCTGTGAAAATGTGGTGTGTTTAATTCAAGCCAGAAACATCAAATCAAGGACGAAAACATCGCGACCCGATCGACTTCTCTGAGATATGGCTATACTCTCTATTTGTCTGCATTCCACCATGGGAGATGGCTGGCAGCGTGGCAGCCCAAGTCATTTCCTATCCATTTTCACTTTTTAATATGGAGATTCTTCAAATGGAAGTAATGATTGCTTGCAGCACACATGATTTATATTTCCTTTCCCAATTTTGTAACGAATTTTATACCCTCAATGGCATGACTGCATGTCTTAGGTGCTGAAATCCCAGAATGTGTGACCAAGTGTTCACTTCAAAAGAAGGGTTCTTTGGCCAGAAGGGCAAGAAAGAATGGAGAAAGCCTTGTAACAGATCCCATAGAGATGGCAAGAGAACGGTTCCAGATTATTGGAAAAGGGGGATGTGATCCAGGACTGAAATGGTTGGAAAGACTTGAGGGAAAGCAGGGAAGAGGAAGACTGAATATAACAAGAACATGCAGGCTTGCAAATTGCAATGCAACAAGCGAATTGCTGAGGGAGGCAATGGAGCTCAAAGTACCACATATAGAAACTTTATCTAACTATACTTGATGGTGCTGGACATGTTCAAAAGCTTAAGGGTTCGTTTCAGGGACTTTTTTTCCTCTATTTTTAAGCTGAAATTGACTTGTGTGAGACATGTTTAACAACGCATATACACATACACACACAATTATGCATATATAATATATATGTAGCGGGTTATTTTTAAGAAGATCCGATGAAATCAAGAAATTGGAACAAGAATACACAGAAAACTAACATCACCACCCTATTGCATCAAGAATAACGCACATAAAATCAAGAAATGATGCAAATTTCTCAAGCAAATAAACAAGTACATGAGTTAGTTTTAGTACCAAAACAAAAATAAATACCAACTGACGTGGCCTAAGCGACAGAAACAAACTGGAGCGGGAAAAAAAGGGTTCCAGTCAAATTATCTTTCCAAAATTCAAATTGCCGCTCGTCTAAAGAAAGTTCAGTATATTGATATTTGATATAACCCAAAATAAAAATAAAAATAAAATAAAAAGAACGAAGAAAATTTGTGACCAAGAAGCAAGCAATAGAGTGGAGCAGTGACCATGGACGACGTTGATCGGTTGTTCGAGTGCTTCAAATGCGGCATCTCCCCTCCTCGTAAGCTCTCTCTCTCTATCTCCTTCTCCACTCTGTTTGGTTACTGAGAATACAAAAGAGAAAACAAAGAAAGCGTATCTCAGGCGCATTTACCAAATTGACAACGCGTTTCGGTTGGAGGCTATGTCGTTGAAAAACGTCAAATTAGGGTTTCGAATTGGAATACATGCATTGCAAAACATATTATTGAGGAAGATTTGATACTGTTAGTGTCTGATATTCGATTTGTATTTTTATTTTTAGTGTCTGATTTGATACTGTTACTTCCAACGCATAGTTGAGTTATTACTCTGGTTTTGAAATTTTGATTTTACAAGAATCTGCTTTGAGGGAAAGAAAGAGAAGCAAAAGCAACTTGAAGCGAAGAAGTAAAACCCAGGAGGTCTCTTCTCCAGGATCAGCAGCAGGGCAAACACAGAAAAATGCATCAGAAATACAACTTTCTGCGGAGAAGGTATTTACTCCGAAATGGTCATTTCTTGCCCACTTAACTTGTATTCATGTTATAGTCTTTATTGTTTCTTAGTCTGATTTCTTGTGTCTGTGTGTATAATTGTGCTTGAATTCCTCCTTAGTTGAATGAAATTTGACCTTTTATGTTGTTGATAGCTGAAATGTTCTTTTAGTGCACTTGCCAATTGATATCCAACCTATAATATTTGTCCTACTGCTTTGCTTACCTAAAATATATATCACCGTTTCTTCAGTCTGGTTCAGGAACCGTTAAAGCAAACAACTTTAA